AGGTATGATCGGGTTTTTAAATGTACAAACTAGATTGTCCACATCTTGGCCGCCATATCAGTGTTGAATCACACCAGTCTTTTTCAGAGGAGCAGTCATTTGGTAAGCACGTAATTACACAAGGCATTGTCCATAGAGTTTAGATTACACTCCATCCCTGCCCTCACAGAGCTTACAATCCATCAACAAGCTTTCTTAAGTGCCAGCTGTGTGCCAGACATTGGGCTAGATTTGAGAGATAAAATACAAAAAGGAAGCCATTTGGGCCTTAAGAAGTTTACATGCTACCAAGGAGAAGGAGGGAGGGAGAAAAGTAGGAGTGCGAGAGCAATAAGTACCAGTGACTCTATTGGCGTCAAGATAAAGTATAAATGCCTCCTGCTGGCTTTTCTAGCCCTTCATGACTTTACCTCACCCTACCCTCCAGTCGAATTGCATACTCCCCTGCCTTGCCTTTTCACTAGGTACCCCCAATGTCCAACATGAATCACCCTTTTCCCTCAGAGTCATTGGTTTCTGTCCAGAATTAAGTAGAGCACTGCCTCCTACTGGAAGCTTCCCTAATCCTTCCCTCTGCTGGCGCCCAAGCTCCCAAAATATCCCGGTATATAAATTTGTGCACACATACATACAAGCACACACACACATAAATGCCTACATGTGGGTATATATGCTTATATTCTGTATATACTTGTATAACTTTTATATAGCTCCTTATTGCAATTCTTTCCTTTCACTGATGAGTAGGGTCTCCCAGAGCAAGACTATGGGTCCTCCTCAGGGTTATGCCATTGAGGGGTTATAGTGTTTTTCTAATGACATGAGCTCAAGCCTCCATTCCAATGTGTTCTCCTCTATATCAATCACCAGTTATAATTAATATCACTCCTCTATCATCAATACACTCTATTGATTAGTGCCCCATTTAACTAATTAACCCCAAGCAGCTTTTACAAAAGGACATTTCCTGAGAAGATATAGCAAGAACAGATGTTCTTCTATATCAGTTCCTTTATAGCAGGTCTAGGAGCTTTCTTGGAGCTAAACACAAGGTATAGTTCTAGAAAATCAACTTTTTACTGGAATAAGGAATTTGGTGATCTGTTACCAAGAAAACCCCAAATGGGATCACAAAGAGTCAGACACAACTGAAATGACCCAAACACCAACAAAATTGGCTTTGGAGTGGTTTGCCATTTCCTTCTCTGACTCATTTTACAGACAAGGAAACTGAGGCAAACAGGGTTAAGTGACTTGCCCAGGGTCACACAGCTAGTAGGTCTGAAGCTGGATTTGAAGCCAGGTCTTCCTGACTCCAGACCTGATGCTCTATTCACTGTGCCATGTGGCTGCCCAATTACTATGTGTTAGGCACTGTTCTAAGTGCTAAGAACAAGGTTCCTTCCTTCAAGAAGCTCACAATCTAATGGAGGAATAAGATATGTAAATAACTGTGTATATGTAAGATACACAGACACTATTGTGTGTGGGCAGTTAATCTCTGAAGCTGGGGAGGAGAGACTGGGAAAGGGCTCCTGCAAAAAAATGAGAATTATTAAAAAATAATAGCTAACATTTATATACTACTTTAAGGTCTACAAAGTGCTTTACATATTTCATCTCCTTTGAGCCTAGAAACAAACCTGTGAGATAGATGCTATTATTCCCATTTTACAGATGAGAAAACTGAGGCCACTAGAAGTTAAGTGATTTGCCTAGGGTCTCCCAGCTAGTATGCATCTGAAGCTGGATTTGAACTCAGGTCCCCCTGACTCCATGTTCAGCATTCGATCCGCTATGTCACCTAGGCACCAGTAAAGAAAGTAAAGAATGGATTCTGTGAAGAGAAGATAAGGACAGAGAGTCTTCCAGGCCTGCGGGTCAGCCAGGACAAAGCCACAAAGACAGATTGGGGAGAGAGGGGGGAGGCTGTGTGTGAGAAACAGAAGGTCCTATTGGCTGAACTGCAGAATTCAGGAAGGGCAGTAATGAGGGTGAGAAGGTAGGTTAACACCAAGTTGTAAAGGGCTTAAATGCCAAATGGAGGAGTTTATAGTTGAATCTAGAAATAATAAGGAGACTCTAGAATTTATTGAGGAGGGAGTGACATGGTCAGAAGCAGAGCTGGGGGCCCAGGAGAGCCCAGAGAGGAGCGGGAATATGACCAAGTACGTCAGGAGGGAAGGTTGGGCACTGTCCATCATCTTTTCTTCAAATGCATTTCCTCCTCATCTTCACCTGCTGAGATCCTTCCCCTCCTTCAAGGCTCAGTTCAGACATTCCTCTCCTCTGTGAAGCCTGGAAAGCCCTTCTTCCCCGGCCCCCAGGCCAGGTGAAATCTCCTCTCTGCAATAGTCCTGGAGTTCTTTGTCTGGGCCCTTCTTTGCCCCCATCACAATCTAGCCCCAACTGTGTATTCATCCTCCTCACTCCCAACCCTAGCCAACAGATTATAAATTCCTTAAGAGGCAAGGACAATGTCATTTTTCATCATCATATGCCCAGTGCCTTGCACAGAGTAAGTGAATAATAAATGTTTGTTAGCTAGAAATGACCTTCATAAAGCAAGCCAGATTGCATTTGGACAGTGAAAGTCTACTCAGCTGGGTTGGGCTTCCAAGAGGTAACAAACCTGTGGCTCCCTCCCCGCCTTTCTCCCTGTTCCCCTCTCTCAGACCCTAAAAGCAGAGAAAACGCAGCCTTTTCTGCAGATTCCCTGGATGAACACCCCATCGTCTCAGGCCAGTCAAATCTAACTTTGGGCGCAAGTAGAGAAAGCTGGTTTTGCTGGCTAGTGACTCAGCACTTGACTGAAGGGAAGGGAAGCCAAGAGAGGTATGCCACTCACTCACATACATGTGCTGTATTCCCTTATTGGGATGTAAGCTTTTGGAAGTCAAGGACTGGCTTGCCTTGTGTATCTGTATCCCCATCAATTAGCACAGTGCCTGGCACTTAGTAAGCACCTCACAAATCCTTTTTCATTCCTTATTCACTCGTTCTCCGAAGACTCTGTCCAACCCTTGGGGGCCACTTCAAAGGACACAAAACTATAGGCATGCATTTATTGCATTCAGGTCCAATCCTTATTGTGGTAGGATTTCCCTCCAACCCCCTTCCTTGCCCTTGTCTTTGTCATCCCAACATCTGTAGCCACAAGGAAATCAAGAGCTCTAGGGGCAATCCTAACCGTCAGATACCATTTTTCCAACAGCTTGGTTTTCTGTGGTGCTTACCAGAGCTGTAACTTGGACAGGTTAAACAGGGGTCTAGCCCAGGGTGCTGACTGAGGTGGGGCTTGCATCAACATATCCAGCTGTTATCGTAAAGGCCCTATCTCCATGGCATCTTTATCCCAGGATCCACCCCCCTCTCACCCCTCATGGGTACAAAGACCACTCTCTCTGGAAGAAGGGTTCTTACCATCTCCTGGCAAGACTTTACCTATGATGAGATCATCTTCTTCACTCTACCTTTCTCCAGTGAAGCTGCTTTGGGCATAATTACAGCTAGTTACAGCTCTGACTGCCATAGTAAGAGAGGATAATGACATTTCTGCTCATAGAACGTTACAAGGAAGTTCCATTGAAAACCTTCCTTGCTCTGAAGCCCTCTTGGACCTTCACCTGTTCCAGTGATGAAAAGCACCAAATTGGGGCAATGCCAGCCCAACTATTAGACATCAGGAGAGAAGAAAGGACAGACCACTCGACACTCTTACCATGGATGCTTAAGGAAAATAAAACTGTTTATTTGGGAAACAGCACATAAAGTAGCCTGACTCACAGAATCACAGAATCTCTGAGCGGAATTAAGGCTTCAAGGTCCTATGATTCAATCCATACCTGAAGAAGAATCCTTTCCACAACATACCCACCAAACGGTCATCCAGCCTTCACTTGGAGAGCTCCCAGGAGAGGGAGTCTGCCAGCTGCTGAGATAGCCCATGACACTTTGGGGTGTCTCTGTTTGTTAGGAATCAAGCCTCAGTCTGTCTTCCACCCCCTAGCCACAGTCCTGCCCTCTGAGCACAAGCAGCAGATCTTTAATACTGGGGAGCAGCTCTTGGGTACCCAGTAGGTCTTCTCTTGTCCAGACTAAATGTCTCCACTTCCTTTCACATATCTTCACATGATGTGGTATGCAGTCACCGTGCCCTCTCAGTCACTCAGCTCAGGATGCTCTCCAGATCATCAATGTCCTTTTCAAAGTATGGTGCCCAGAGACAGTATGATGAAGGGAGAGGACAGTGGGATCATCCCCTCCCTTATTCTGGATATTATATCTGTCATGATGCAGCCTAAAACAATGGAGTTCTTGGCTACCCTTAGAAATCAGGAAATGGTCCAGTTAAAGCAACCAGTCCATCAGCTAAAATAAATTTATTAAGCACTTGTATTAACTAAGCCTAGGGATAAAGAGAAAAATGGAAAATTGCCCATGCCCTCAAAAGCTTACATTCTAAGGGGGTAGGTAACATATACCTATAAAGGTCTAAAATGATACACATACCATGAGGGTCCAGGCTTGGTTAGAAAATATAAATATGCAGTGGACTCATTCTAAGGGGTTTGTGACTCCCCCTATCTCCATTCACAGCAAGAGTAAGAGCGAAGAAGGCAGATGATGGGAGCAGTTCAGGGTCAGTGACTGACAACATGTGAGGTGATAAGACAAGATAGCAAAGGAAGTAAAAGTACAGAATAGTTTAAAATGGAACTGGTCCCTAAGGAGAGTGTGAGCAGAGATGGGGGCAGGGGGAGCTTGGCAAAGTGCTGAGGCCTGGAAGAACTGGAAGTCATCATGAAAATGAAGTGATCGGGTTGCAGCTAGGTGGTGCAGTGGATAGAGCACCAGCCCTGAAGTCAAGAGAACTTGAGTTCAACTCTGACCTCAGACGCATAACACTTACTAGCTGTGTGACCTTGGGCAAGTCACTTAACCCCATTGCCAAGAAAGAAAGAAAGAAAGAAAGAAAGAAAGAAAGAAAGAAAGAAAGAAAGAAAGAAAGAAAGAAAGAAAGAAAGAAAGAACGAAAGAAAGAAAGAAAATTAAGTAATCAGGCATAAGGAGAGATGGAATTATAGGAACTATGGCTGCGTAGAGGAATTTTAGTGTTCTTGAAGGGAGAAGTAGGTGAAGGCAGAATCACACTTATGACCAGACTTGTATATCTCACAGGAGGAGCACTTGGGAGATGATGAGGTTGACAAAGTGAAAAAGTAAGTATTTGAGGGCCCATCAACATGTATGTCAAAGTCCCCAAGGATGATGGCAGGATTTAGGGTAGAGAAGAAGACTATGAGCCAGGCACTGACCTCATCAAGAAAAGAAGGACATGTCCTGAGGATCAGGAGACAATGGCCACCAGGCTCCATGTTGGATAAGAAACAATTGCAAGTGTTAAAAGAGAAAGCATTCCTGTGGTCATGTCATCCGTTTAGCTTCTGGGTTTCTTTAAATATTTACTTCTTTGGCTTATGGCCTCATTCATACATACGTAGTGTTTAAAATACAGATATTAATTTCTTCTGTGATATTCTAATCTCTGCTCTTCACTGAGTCCGAAATACACAAATCCTTTTTTTTTAAGTTTTTCTCCTTTAATTCATAGCTCCTAGTCCTAGGTCTCTTCATTGCAGGTGCCCCTGAAATCCAAACATGGGTGCATTTAAGGTCATTGTTTCTCCCCCTCAATTACTCCTGATTAACTCATTCAGGAATGAGACACATGACCAGGAAAATGATGGATTAATAATTAATGCTTCAGCTTCCAAACAATGAAATTGTGAATTGTCTATGGAATCTCTAGAGCTTAATTACAAGATTAGACAAAAGAACCATGACGGTCAAGCTAAAAATCCTGTTAATTAACCACAACTTTACTACCTTCATTGCTTACTAAGTAAGGCACCACCCACCTCCACTAGCCCTTGGCAGCCAACATAAGCAGTCTCAGGCTTGTGCCAGGAGCCCAGCCTGAGGTAGGGACCCCCCAAAACTGCAGGGTCTGTGCCCAAAAACTCCTAGCCCTTCAACCCCTAGACCTAAAGAAGTGGTTGATTCTGTCCAGTCATACAAAGGAAAAGAAAAGAATGAAGGGAAGAATCAGGTAGTCTGAAAGGAACCAGCATAGGCAAATGGGCTGAGCCTAAGAGAAAGGTGAGCGGAAACTGAGCTCAGATCAGTCCGACACACCAGTTACTCTGGGCAGGGACCCAGGCAGGTGAACCAAGTAGCCCCCTTCTAAGGAGGATTAAGGCAGTTCTGCAGCCTAGTAGCCCAGTGTCCAGGGCCAATGAAAGTAGAGGAGCCAGAGAGTGAGGGATAGAGAATACAAGAAGAAGAATAGTAGAGATATCAAAAGAAAAAGGCTCAGGATGCCGGCAGATAAACCAAGAGGCAGGGTACTAAAACAGCAGAAGGAAAAATGCATAAAAACACAAAGAGAATGCCAAGTACAATCAGCAAATATTACCAACTGAAGGGAGAGTGCCTGATGAAAGACAAAATACTACGTACTATACAAAGATGATGGAAACCTTCAGAATGATTCAAAGGAGAAATAAAAATCATAAGGGAAAATATTTAGGAATGAATTTAGGCAGAAAATAAAGTCCTCCATTCAGAATCAAAATAAAATAAAATAAAATAAGAATATAACCAGCCTAATTCTTTCATTAAGGGATCCTCCTTCAGGTAAAAGGTACCACCCAGATTCTTAAAGGAGCTAGCCCCATATTTGTTTTAAAGCCATCAAACAAAATAAAATGTGAGTTTAAAACATTAAAGTATGTTTGACCATGTTCCACCTTCAATGAATGTCCACTGAAAATTGATGGTGTATTATAAAATGACAAGAGCCATTCTGTGGTGTCAGGGTATTTCTGTAGGTCTTCTCTGGAGACCGTACTACACATACAAAGCTATCTTGGTGGCCTCCCCTCCAGGACAACGAGAGAATAATATTCAGGAGGTCACACAGCTTTTCCAATGGTCCTTGCTTCCTGCTTGACAACTCTGACTCAGTGGGCTAACCGCTGTGGGTATATTCTCAATAACTTCAGAGAGCGTGAATAGACAAAAAGAGATCTCTTCGTATGCATGCCTGGCTCCACTTTCATAGAGGCAGGCAAAAGTGATGGCTGGAATCCCTGGTGTTGACGGATCTGAAAAGGGTAGCTCCATCACTGCCAGATCAGAGTATGCACTGGGCCCTTCATAAATCACCCAGGGCTCAGTCCAGCTGTCGGCATTTCTGGGAAAAGTGCTAAGGTAGACTCCCATATTTACCCGAGACCTGTGACTTGTGGGGTGGGAATATAATACCCAAGTAGGTGTCTGAAATGAGGTGAAAGGTGGAGAGACAGGTCCTGGGGCACTCTGGCCTGAATCACTATCACTCACAGAGATCAGAGATTCTTCGGAGATCTTCTGTTGTGGGTGGCATTGGGATGCCTTTTTTACAGAGGTGACTGGGATACTTCTAACACTCTTTGCTTCGTGTTTCTGAAGTCTATGAAGCTTTTGTAGGAGATAGAAATAGTCACAGCCACCAACAAACCATCTCTCCCCTTGTGACAGAAATTGAGAGGAGTTCCTAATGAGAGGAGCTGGGAACCCAACAATGCTGCCATGGCAACCACGGTTGCTCTCCACTAACTTCCGGACCCGCTGTCCTGGGAGAAAAGCAGCCCCATCATCCATGCTGAGCGCCTGTACGCGGCAGCCCAGGGGACTCCTGGCATTGCAATAAAGAATACTGCTGCCATCTTCCTCATACACGGATACCAGCTGGCACTCCCCAGTTTTCAAGTTGGGGATGAAATCCCCAAATTGCCAGCTCTGACCATGGTCATCACTGTAGAAGGTGAAGGAGTGAGGGGTGGTCTTGCAGATTTTCCCAAAGCACTCCTTGCAGTCGATGTGGTAAGTGTAAGCAGGAACAAGGAGACGTCCTGACCTCAGCTGGATGCCATGGCCAGGGCCCAAGGCAAAGGTAGCCCAGTCTGCAGAGAAAGGAGAGAGAGGCTGCCATGAATGAGTGGAGGAAAGAAGAAGAAAAGAGGAGGAGGAAGAGTAAGGTGGAGAGAAAGAGAAGGAGAAGGAGGAGAAGGAGAAGGAGAAGGAGAAGGAGAAGGAGAAGGAGAAGGAGAAGGAGAAGGAGAAGGAGAAGGAGAAGGAGAAGGAGAAGGAGAAGGAGAAGGAGAAGGAGAAGGAGAAGGAGAAGGAGAAGGAGAAGGAGGGGAGGAGAAGAAGAAGAAAAAGGAGGAAAAAGAGAATTAATAGTAGTAATATCAATAGCCCTCTCCCAAACCCACTTCTGCAGAAGTCCTTACATAAACAAGAACAGCACAGGGAACATTTAGGTTTCAACTTCAAAGTCCAGGCTACCCTGGCCCTTTGAACCACTCCAACAAGCATGTATCACATTGGGGGCTCAGCCCCCTCCTGGCCAGGTCCCCCTTTCTGTCCCCCGTTAGATTGTAAGCTCCTTAAAGGCAGGGACTGTCTTGCATACACAATGATTAGCAGAGAGCCCGGCACATAGAAAACACTTAATAAATGTTGAATCAACCTATCATATCTATCATCTATCTATCTCTATCCATTCATCTATCTATCATCTATTTATCCATCCATCCATCTGTGCATCCATTCATCTATCTACCATCTATCCATATACCTATCTATCAGTCCCTACAAGGTACCAGGCACTGTGCTTGGTGCTTAGAGAATTAAAGTCTCAAATTAAATAGCTAGTGTCTTCAAGAAGATTAGATTCTACCTGTGGGTAGAATTTATATATTATATATATTACATATACATTATATTATGTATATGCATATGTGCACATATATGTGTATACATGCATGTTTGTACCTATGTATACTTGACCATGTATACATATGTATGTATATGTGTGTTGTTGATTAGATAACATTATATGGAAATATGTATTATTTAAAAATACATTTCTATAACATCTGAAAGTTTGCAAAAGACTTCACACGTGTTATCTCATTTGAACCCCACAACAGCTTTATAAGATAGGTGCTATTATTTTCCCTTTCTTATAGATGAAGAAACAAAGGTTAAGCGACTGGTCCTCAGTTTCAATGCTAGTAAGTATCTGAGGCCCGATTCAGCCTGAGGTCTTCATGATTCCAGGTCCAGTGCTGTATTCACTGAGCCACCCAGCCTCTCCCCCATCCTTGAAATTATTCCTTTGCAATATAAGAAATATAAGAAATAACTAGATGTTGGCAAATAATGTCAACCCTACTGCTGATGAAATTCCCAGTGTCCTGTCTCTCTTTGAAGGAGCCTTGTTCTCTGCCCTTGTGACCTCACACAGATAAAAGAAAGAGAAAGGAAGTACTCTTCCTATGTCTACTAGCTGCTGCTCAAAGTAGACCTAGGGAAAATATTGTCCGTTCAGCTATAGCTACACATTCTACTTTCCCATGTATAGATTGGTTTGTGGCTGGGGGTGGGGATCTAGTGTTTCAAACTCCCTTCCATTTGTTAAAGTCCCTCTCTCCCTTTGTCTTCCCCCTTCTAAGAAATTATTCTACTTGCAAGCATCTAATTAGCAGAGGAAAGAATAACTTTACTTGTAAAGAAAAAAAAAAGAGGCAGAATCTTATCAATCCATTCATTTACTTGCTTTTCCTGGTATGTTGGGAGGTGCTTTAGACTGTGGCTCCATTAGGGGCTCCATTTTCCCTCATGGGCTATTCATTCCAGCCTGAAGTTCTGGTCAAGAATTGGACATGAACCGTTTCATTCTCAGGACCAGAACCAGCCTCATAGTACCTGTGTCAAGCAGGGAGATGGCCAAGGCACATGTAGCCTCAGCATCCTTTATCAAATGGGTTATTTTTGGTTACCTCAAACTCCACATCTTATCAAGTGGGTGTGGTTTTTGTTCCTTGAAATTCTGGACTGGACTGGCCAATATAGATACTACTGAGATTGTCTTTCCTCACCCCCATTTCTCTTTTGCCAACAAAAGTCTTATTCATCCCAAATGAGAGCCAAAGCCAGTCATTTCAAGTGGAGCAATTTAAGCAACTCAGTGTGGGCTCCTTTACCTTCTATAACAGAGCCAATGACTTGTTCTGTCAGGTCAGTGACAGCACTCCAGGTGAGGCCCCCATCTGAACTGGTCACACAACAAAGTCGGGCTGCATTCTTGCCAGTCATGATCTGAAAGGATTCTGGGGTGTTGCCCAACACCGCGATGAAGAAGAGGAAGACAGTGCCGGTGAGCTCATCATACACAGGGCAAGGGTTCATGGACCGATGCTCTTCCAGAGATGCTGTCTCCACAACTCGCATGCTTCCCCACTGGAGAGGGAAGAAAAGCATCAACGCTCTCTCTCTTCTCTCTCTATGTCAAGCTTACCATCGATCTCCATTCATGATTCTCTTGCCTTTCTTGATACACTGCACACTCCAAATTCTCTTTAACTCAGAGATGTCAATTGCCTTGAACAATGGATCTAAAAATCTTCTAAGCTCAAACATGTCATTGAGCCAAAAGACCAGACAGACCCTGCACGCAGCTGGAGGAAACCACTGGGCTAGAGTGATGGGTGAAGTACCAAGGAGAGAAGTACAATTCATGAAAAGAGCACCTGGGTTCAAGTCCTGGCCCTGACACTTACTAGCAACATGACCCAGGGCAAGTCAATTAATCTCTCTGAGTCTCAGTTTCCGTACCTGGAAAATGGGGGTAATAATGCTGAGAGAAAGGGACTAGGCTGTTATTTCATTCTACCAGGGCAGGTCAGCCCCTTTTCTTCAACTCTTTCCAACTCTAAGTAGGAGTCCCATGGAGTTTCCTAGAGCACTGAGAGCTGAAGAGACTTTGCTGAGTGAAGGTCACCCAGCCAGGGGGTGTCAGAGGCAGCTTCAGTCTTCCAGGTTCTAAGGGAAACTCTACTCACTACCTACTGTGTGCATGGTACTGTGCATAGGTGACTAAAAGCTCCTGCCCTCAAGGACCTTGCATAGAACCACAGATGCAGGGCTAGAAGGCCATCTAGTCTGACGCCCTCATTTTACAAATGAGGAAACTGAGGCCCAGAGAGTTAAATACCTTACCCAAGGTCTACAGAGCTGGCAAGTAACAGAACCAGAATTTGAACCCAGGTCCTCTGACTCCAGAATCAGAGCCCTTTCCACCATACCACACCACCTCCTATGAAGCACTAGAACAAAACATTCCTGTGAAAGTTGTAATCACATTCACATTTGGGGGATTTGGTCATATATTTGTAGCATATAATAGTTACTTGAGTATACAAAGAATCTAGGAGAGAGGTTCCTAACCTGGAGTCCATGAAGAGATTTCAGGATATCCATCAATTTGGATGGGAAAAAATTACATCTCTATTCTCACTAACCTCTCGCTGAAACTTGGCGTTTCTTTCTATTATGAATGTAGACAAGAAATCATTATTCTAAGCAAGAGTCTGTAGGCTTCACTAGACTGTCAAAAAGGATCCATGACTAAAAAAGGGTAAGAACTTTGATCTAGGACTTACTCTCTCCCAATATGGGAACTCTCTCCACTGATGGAGATGCCAAGCATGTGCAGGACTCCTGACTGTGTCTATATTTGATGATGATGATGATGATGATGATGATGATGACGATGATGATAGCTGATTTGCATATAGGACTTCAGATTTGCTTTACATACATTATCTCATTTGATCTTCATAATAACCCCATAGGGAATGGTACTATGGCCATTATTGTCCCCATTTAACAGATGAAAAAACTAGACTCAGAGAGGTTGTTACAGTTATTGTGTCAGAGCCTAGATTTAGCTCCCTGGCAGCTCCTGACTCCACTCCCAGCATCAGGAGCCAACATGCCACACTGCCTCCTGATGCTACTGTTCATTCTAGCCTTTAACCCTCTCCTTCCCAGGATGCACCAGTTCCTACAGAAGGTAGGGACTTCTGAGGCATCCCTCCAACCTCTGATACTGCCCCTGCCCTGCTGCTGCAGGAGTCTTGGTCTCTGGAAATAAAATGGTGATGTTTCATCTGGGTCTCTCACATAGAAGCCCATCAGTTCAATAAGTGGAACACACAACTTGCCCACAATCCCTCAGCAGCCTCCACCCAAGTCAGTTTATCAGGTTATGTTTCTCATGCTTCCCCGGAGGGTGATTCCATGGCCCAGGTGTCACTCACCTCCACATATGTCCTGTAGAAGGCCCCCCTTCTCAGGACCAGCACATTTGCATGAGAGTCATCAGGGCTGAGCCTCTCCTCTGCAAAGGCCAGCAGAGTGGCCCTCTTGGGGATATAGAGCAGGGCAGGTATCCTATAGGTCACGCCACCTTTCTCCCTCTCAAATAGCACTGTCCGAGCAGGGAAATATGAGCTACTCATGGCTTTCCTGGAAAAAAGGAAAGGACACACAACCAGCCAGTGTGTAGGAAGTATGAGAGATGGGGTAAAAAGATAGGAACCAAAGACTCCAGGGGTCAGTCATAGGATCTAACTCTTGCATTTTAATTATTGTTAAATTTTTGTTTTAAGACATTCCCAGACAAAAGGAGCTTTTCCCCAGGTAAATGAAGCAGTTTTTCCAGTGTTTTCTGCAGTGTTTCCAGAGTAAGACTTCAGAGTCACAGAATCAAAGATCAAAGGGATCTCAGAGGAAATCTAATCCCACCCAGAGCAGAAATAATCCCCTCTACAATCTACTTTGGTAAGTAGCCATCCAAGCTTTGCTTCAAAATTTCCAATGAGGAGGAGCCTTTTTAGACAGCCCATTACACTTTTAGATGGCTGTGATAGCGTAAGTAGGTAAGTGGTAGCAGTACGGCTGTGCGGTTCTCTAAAGACAGTCAGGACCATGGACAGAAGTGGGCTTCAATTAACCCAACCAGCTGTCCACACCAGCACTTACTGGGTCTTTATTTTATCTTGAAGAATGGCTTAATTAGTTTGTAGAGTAACCCGCCTCTCCCCATCTATTCATCAAGCCTGTCATTTCCTTAGTAAGGAGGTGAGTTGAATTAAATAAAAGGGCAATAAAATACAACCAACAGGTCCTAAGAGAAGGAATCATCTCAATGGATCCCAACCCCAAAGGCAGAGCTTGCTTCTCTCCTGCTCATTCTAGCTGAAGGGTGAAATAAAAATCTCCATGCTGATCCTCATTTGATATTTAAGGGAAAACAGGGCAGATAGAGGTTAATGACCCAGGGTCATAAAGCTAATAAATGTCTGAGGCCAACTCAAGCCTTCCTGATTCCAAACCCAGTGCTCTATCCGTTGTTCCACCTACAAGCAAGTCCCTAGACATAATTCTACTACTCAAGGAAGTTTTTCCCTTATATCAAGTCTGAATTTACTTCTTTGCACCTTCTATCCATTACTCATAGTTCTTCCTTATAAGGTCAGACAGAACAGGTCTAATCTCTCCTCCATCATAAATAACTGAATACAGCTCTCTTGTCCCCCTTGAATCTCCTCTGCTCTAAGCTAAACACCCCCAGCTCTTTCAACTAGTCCTCAAATGGCATGGCCTCAATGCCCTTCATCCTCTGCTTATTCTCTCTGGATACACTCCAGCTTCTCCTTGTCCTTCTGAAAATGTGGCACCCAGAGCTGGACACAGTACTCTGGATGTGGTCTGACTAGCATGAGGAAGAGCAACTATCACTGATCTATATTCAAGTTATAAAGGGCTTCACATGGTAAGTGATAGCTGAATTGGACCTTGAAAGGAGGCATGAGAGGAGAGGGATGATAGAGAGGGAGATGTCCATCCCAATTATAGGGGAAGGCATCAGAAAATGTGGAGACTACAGAGGACAATGTGAGAGCAGGAAAACGAGCAATCTCTTATCTGCTCTGTGAAAGAGGGTATTGTAGATACTACCCACAAAAAAATACATAGCCCCTGGAGCTGACTCACTAAATACTGAATTTATGGTTTAACCTTCCCAAATTTAATCCGCATTAAAACGCAAGCGCCCCTTGGAAGAATAAATAATTAAGCTATTGACTTTAACTTAAGTCTCAGAGTAAGGTTGTGATGCAGGGAGGGGCTGGGTTGAGAAACATGATGGCAGTTGACAGCTGAGTGGAACCCACAAGAGGGGGACATGATCAGTAACTGTGGCCTGAGACCAACAGGACTTTGGTCCAGGGTGCTATCACAAGAGAGGAAAGAAGATGCTTCCCTACACCTCATATCATCTGAGCTGCTTTATGTCATAACTGTCCTAGGGCTGCCACTCTGAGAGCCCCATGGATTCATCCTTTCTTCCCCAACCCACGTGAAGGTGCAGGCTAGAATTCAAATGGGGTAGACTGCACCCTATCCCAGGGCAATTACACCCACAGTTAGACTATTCTATGTATCATCACTGTCCTCTTCTCTATCTGACTATCTTACTTCCTGCCACCCCTGCTCCACTCCCCAACTATTTTGAGATGACATTTGCTCAGCTTTGGACTCAAACCACAGAGGCCAGCTTCCAGCAGAGAGCCATTCTCCTGCCTCCTCTCTCGGTTGCCATGGAGATCCACATCATAGGTCTGCCATGGAAACAGTGGAGCTGGCTAAAATTGATATCCGGGGTTCATGTCCAGCACACATCAATGAATGAGAATGAGAGAAATGCTCAGCTGAGACTGGTGTCAGAAGGGAAAATAGGCGTGCAAGGCTATCAGCTCCCACCCTGGGGCCATAAAATCTAACAGAGCTGGAAGGAACCTCAGGATCTGCCTAGTGCATCCACCTTACTTTACAGTTAAGAAGGGAGTCCCAGAGAAGATGAGTGACAACCAATGTCACATAAGTACAGAGTGGCAGAGCCAGGCTCCAATTGAACCCAAGCCTTCTGACTCCAAATCCAAAGGGGGAGCCACAAGAATGGGGTGGGAGAAGGTTGCAAGTGGAACTTTCTCCACCAAGACCATCCCCAGTGGCCTCTTGGCCTTAAAAATCAATCCCTTTCCCTGACTAAAATGGTAGAATCAGAAAACCTCATACAGGAATCCCCTCTGTCATGTAGCCAATCAATGGATATCCCTACAATATCTGTTGGAATACTTCCCATAATGGGAAACTCACTACCTACCAAGGTAGCCCATTCTGCTTTGAGATAACTGATGGTTAGGAAAATTTTCCTCATTTTGAGCCTAAATTTGCAGCTTCCACTCATGGCTCCCAATTCTGTCTTCTAGGGTCAAGAAGAACAAGCCAGACCCCTCTTCTAGGTCACAGCCCTTCAAATACTTCAATACAGGTATCATGTGAGTAGAATGTAAGGTCCTGGAGGTGAAGGAACTTAGCTCTTCTAGCCTTTGTACACCCAGGGCATAACTGAGGGTCTAGAATATTTGAGTTGTTCAGTTGTGTTTCACTCATGTCTGATTCTTCATGACTCCATTTGGAGTTTTCTTGGCAAAGATACTAGAGTGGTTTGCCATTTCCTTCTCCAGCTCATTTTATAGAGGAGGAAACCAAGGCAAACAAAGTGAAATGACTTGCCCAGAGCCACCCAGTTGGTAAGTGTCTGAGGCTGGGTTTGAAGGCAGGTCTTCCTGATTCCAGGCCTGGCACTCTATCCACTGCACCACATCCCTGCTCTGTCTAGAACACAGTAAGTATTTAATAGTGCTTGTTGAATAGAGCTGAATAGAATCTGCAACCTTGGGTTTTTTTAAATTCAATCCACATTCAGTGGAGTTTCTCCAGCCATCCCAATAGGCCAAAGGGAAACTCTATCAGGTTAAGTGAAATTAGACTAATGTTACCCCAAAAATGTTCTTGGAGGGTACTTTGAGGTGGGGAAGAAATAAGGGGAAGGTAGATGAAGAAATACAGTATGGAAATTTGGGCATATAATTATTTACTCCTAAAGTGTGGAAACACAATTATCTTCCAGGTATGAAGACAGCACAGTAGTGGAAATAGAGCTAGACTAGGAGCCACCAGACTTGGGCTCAGATCCAGGTTTTACCACTAACTGGCTGTGTGGCTTTGGACAAGTCACTTAACCCCTCTGGGCTCAAGTATCTCATTCATGAAATGAGGTAGCTTGGCCTAGGTAACCTCCAAAGGTTCCTTCTGGCTCTACATCCAGGACCCTAAGAAGTTCACCTTCAAGTCTTCTTTCCTCAGGAGACCTCCTACATGTGCATTGTCTGGGAGAAAGACAGAAAGGTGTGGTGGAGGAGAGGCTGGACTTGAAATTGGTGAGACCTGGCTTCGAATCTCATAGCGCTTTCTATGTGACTATGTGACCTTGGACAAATCACTTGATCTCCTTGCCTCAGTTTCGTTATCAGTAAAATGAGGGAAGATAAAATGAGATCATATTTGTAAAGCCTTTGCAAACCTTAAAGCGTTATTTAAATGCTTATTGGTACTGTCATCGATTACCCTCAACCTGGCTTAGCCCGTCTGCTAAGAGGATTTCCTGGGTGACCGCTGCACATGCTACAGCTTCTTGGAGCCACAGGTAAGAACTGGGTGACCCAAATGTGGATAAGCAGCCCTCACACCAGACATACTAGTCTTCCCTGAGTACCTCATACATCCCAACCATCCTCTAACCCGTTGACAAGTTAAGGGGTGTCTACCACAAGCATGTGAAGATTTCCCCTGGCAGAATGGGTAGAGGAGAACAATTTGTCCCAAGAACCATGAAGGTGGCTGAAATGGGCTCTGTGGAGCGTTCAGAGCTTCGCCAGGCATCGAAGATGCCAGCAGCAGTTGCTTTGACTTTTGTCTTGCCACTGGATTTCAATGACTCTTTAAGAGTGAGGTTGATGACTTTGTACAGCTCTATCTCACTTAAATCCAGTTCATGTAAGTCAAGATGTCACTCATGATGTCACTGGCCCTTTTGAAAATGAAAGACTAACATCTTTACTATCTGCATCACTGTTGTCATCTTCATCATCATCCTCAAGGTCCAACCAAGATGCCATGACCTCTAAAGTTCTCCCCAGTTCCAAGTCTCTGAGTCTGTTCCCCTATGTTAGCATTCCTGAATGTCCAACAGCTAGCTGCCCATCCCACACTCCCAGTGGAGCTGCCCCCTAAAGTTTCAGTCATGTCCCCAAATGTGACAACCAAAGACCACACGATGCCTGTCTCTCACACAGTGCAACCCACCTAGAAGATGTCCATAAAGTCTGTAGACATGTAGGTAATTCAACTGCATTGAATTCAGTGCCTACTTACTCAACACCTACTCTGTGCTAGGGCTCAGTGTTGCCAGTCATTGTGGGGAATAAACCCAGATGGGGTCTTCAGCCTTAGACTATAAACAGCTCAAGAGGTTAGACAGAGCATGAGACTCACACACTGGTGTTGCTCTTGAGTCCAATTATCCCCATTTATTAGGGAAGGTTAAACAGCAAAATTCACCACAATAACAGCTGACATGGATATAGTGCTTTACATGCATTACCTCATTGGATCTTGTGAAGTGGGTGCATGTTTTTACTGGCTGGTGTGTGCCTGGGGCAGGATTTGAACTCAGGTCATCATGACTCTAGGTCTACAATGCTTCCACTCTGTCTCTCAGAAACTGTCTCGGGCAGCAAACACAATCTTTTTCTAGAGATTTTTTTAAATGCCAACCAAGGGCAACAGAGGTTAAGGGTTCACTCCATGTAGAAGTCTATTACATACCATCGTGGAACCAGATAACAAAAGGCTGGTTTATACCCACATACAAGAAGTGGTGGAAGGGAACACAGGCTTGGAGAGGGCTATGTTTCTATGAGATCTGGCAAACAAAGCCAGATCAACCTAGAAGCAAGTATAGACAAAGCAAGGAGGACCACAAATACATGTGAAATAAGACAGAAAAGCCAGCACTTTATAGAGAGCTTTCCCCATCATTGAGGACAGTCCATAGGATGCTCTTACTTCAGTACTTCATATAAGAAAACAGAAGTAGCTATTCAAAAGATGAAGGTGGGGATAAATCTGGGCCAGAGGCAACATGTTTTCTAGGCCATCAGGGACCTGCTTCCAATATCTCTCCAAGAGGGAAATAGTTCAAAAGAATTAAAGATATAGATACAGAGAGAATTACCGAGGAGGCCTTGTAACACCACAGGGCTTGATGAAATTATTCTTTAGAAGGTGGTTGGGAAACACAAGCAGCTCACAAGCTCTCTCTCACCTTTCACTGCTTCATAAAATCCTAAGAGAATGGTCTGTGCTGAGGTCAGGGCTAGCCTTGCTGAGAGCAGGAGGAAGGATAATTGTCTCCAGCAGACCAAACCTTCATAGCAGGCTGAGAAATGGAGAGAACACAAGACCTGCTGCATTTCTTGTTTCTTACTGAAAAAAAAAAAGGGCATTTGGCCGGGGAGCAAGGCCAACACCAGTTAAGGTTTTATAAGCAAATGGTAAGGTCATAGAAGAACCCATGCTGAATGGAACCACAAAGATGGCTATTTAATCTCCTACTAAGCATTAATATTGAGTGATTACAAAGCAAGGAGGCTCCCATTACTTCCCCTGGGCCCTAGGGAACTCCTGTTCTGTTGTTAACTAACTACCCTTCTTATGCCCTCAGGCTGGAAATCACTCTTTATACATTTTCTACTTAATTTTCTATATGCTCCATGAGGAAAGTGGCTATTTATTCTGGTTTCATCTTTGTATACTCAGCATCTAGAGCAGTATCTGAATATGCAAGACACCCAATAAAAATCTTACTGAGTTGAATTAAAATCAATTGAATCATGGCAGATCATAATCTCTGAAGACTCAAAGGAGACCTGAAGGGCAATGGAAAACACTCCAGGTGGGAGTAAATAAATTGTGGAATGTGGCCAGTGGTGACTAGCAAACAGGAGGTTGCGTAAAAACAACCTCCAAGACATGCATGATCAGAAAGGCAGGTGGGCAGATCTACCCAGCACTCCACAGACTCCCACTGAGTCTGTCAATATTTCACAGCCTGCAGGGCAGTGCTGAATTCAGGCTGAGTTTCTCAGCCCTTCTTCTTCTCCCCCTGGAACTCCCCTCAGTGTAGGGTGGAGGACCTTCCCCTACTGGAACTGACTTCATCATTGTGTCCCAAGGAGGGCTCCTCATCCTCCTCCCACTCTCCAGCTCCATTTTATTTCTCATCTTTCCCCATCCTTGAATCTTTTTCTTTGTATTTGTCTGCCCAGCACTTAGCATGGTGCCTGGTACATAGTAAGCACTCAACAAGTGAGTATTGACTGAGTGGCTGGCTGAATTCAGACCCTCATTATGCCTCGTCTGGCCCATTGCAATAGCCTCCTCAGAGGCCTCCCAAACACTCTTCAATGTACCCTCACAGCTCCCAAGCTATCATTCCCAAAGCACAGACTCAATCAGGCCGCTCTCACTCAAGAAACCAAGAAAGACAGATATCGCCAAGAACCGCCCAGGAGGAGAAAGTCCAGAAAGGATTGCTATATGGACTGGGAAGAGGGGATCCTGGCATGGTTGATGAGATCGACCCCATCAAAGAACAGAAGGACAAGTGCGAACCTGCCCCCCACCACACACATCTTGTTCCTTGGATTACGATGGGACAGCATAAGTGACTCAGAATCCTGGAGGAAGCCAAGGGCCACTGGAAGTGGAATTCAGAGGCAAAGTATTCCTGAGACCGTACCTCAGAGTTCTGGGCCTAGAGTCAGGAAGACTGTGTTCACATCCAGCCTCAGACCTTAGCTATGTGACCTTGGGCAAGTCATTTAACTGCTATTTGCCTCAGTTTCTTCATCTGTGAAATGGGGTGGCACCTAATATCTACCTTGTTGTCAAGATCAAATGAGATAATGTTTGTAAAGCACTTTGCAAACCTTAAAGGGTTAGTTAAATGCTCATTGCTGTTATTTTCATCATCATCATTGTCAGTCACTGTCATCTGCTTCCTCAAGGCCCTGCCAAGATGCCAGAGATGCCAGAAGCACAGGACAAGGTGAAAATCATGCCCTGATCCTGGCCTGGGGCCACATGGAAATCTTACCTTACTTCCCTTGGCTGGAGAGAAGAAAAGAAAGATAAGTTTGAAGCTTGTTGTAGGGTAAGATCATCAATGAGATTCTGAAGGGTCATCAGAATGAGAAGTGATCATCTCAGGGAGCCCAGCCTCCTCATTCTGCAGGAAAAGAAATCAGCTCAGAGGGCTTCACCTAAAGTTGCACAGCCAGTAAGCAGTGGACCTCCACTGTTTTCAAAGTCTGTGTGCTCTCCACTGAGGTTTTCACCAAATGGTTCACTGATGCCAGCCAATAACAGAAGAACTCTGGGAGGGAGGGAAGGAAGGAAGGAAGGAAGGAAGGAAGGAAGGAAGGAAGGAAGGAAGGAAGGAAGGAAGGAAGGAAGGAAGGAAGGAAGGAAGGAAGGAGAGAGAGAGAGAGAGAGAGAGAGAGAGAGAGAGAGAGAGAGAGAGAAGAAAGAGAGAGAGAAAGAGAAAGAGAGAGAAAAAGAAAGAAAGAAAGAAAGAAAGAAAGAAAGAAAGAAAGAAAGAAAGAAAGAAAGAAAGAAAGAAAGAAAGAAAGAAAGAAAGAAAGAAAGAAAGAAAAAGAATTGGCCAATCACGAGTGTTTCATCTGTATCCTAGGATGACAGATGCCAGGCCATTGTGACCTTAGAGATCTTCTTGTCCCAATGCATCACTTTATAGATAAGGAAGCAAAAGCCCCAAGAACTGCACTGACTGGCCCAAGGTGGCAGTGCATGGCAGAACCAGCCTCAGTCCCAGGTATCTAGCTGCAAACCCAGCATCCTTCCCATCACCCTGAGGTTCAACCACGCTCTACTATCCAAGCTTACCAGACACTCTGAGGTCACCTTGATTTTGTCTGACTTTGTTTCCAGAATTGGTGTCTTTCTGCAAAATGGAATTGGAAAAAGGGGTCCAGATACATTATCTCCTTTTTTAGAAGCAGAGACATAGATAAGGGACACTTTGTAAACCATAAAGTACTATCCAAATAGGATTATAAGAGACATGAAAAGACAGAGACAGACAGAGTCACAGAGACAGAAACAAGGGAGGAGAGAATTTTGTAAATGTCGAAGCATCATAAATCTGGGTTATCGTAATAAAGAGAAAAAGGCCAAAGGAAGAGAGGAGCAAGGAAGAAGACTTAATTCCTTGGCAAGCACTACATAAATGGGGTTATTTCAAGACAGGCAGAGAAAGAGAGATCGCTCACAAGAGGCAGAGGCAGAGCACACTTTGTAAGTCCGGAGCTGTACAGAAAGAGGAATTCTGGAGAGATAGAGGCACAGGCTGAGAAGGAGCCAGCCCCTACTGGGCTCCCAATGTTGGGTTGCAGGTCACCTTTCTGCAGGCACCTCCCTCAGCAGCTGTCAGGTGCCAGCTCAGTAAGCAGAAAATCAAGCATCCGCTGCCCTCAGTGCCAGTCTCCCCAGAAGGGAGAGCGCTCTCTTCGTTAGCTCGGTATGAGCCAGTGACAGTAAAAAGAAAAGAAGGTTCTGCTCCATTCCCTTTCTGCCAAAATATCCATTTCACCTTGAAAAGAGCAGCTCTGATGAGTCCAGCTTGTTATGCACGAATATCCTAGGGGAAGGGGAAGAGGGAGCTTCCTCTGAGTAAAGCAGTTGGAAAATGATATAAGCTGAATCATTCCTCCCCCTCCCCACCCCACCACACCCACTGCCAAGGCACTGTTGTGCGCTTGGAAGGGGATATTTTAAAAAAAAAAAAGACTTTAGGACTTAAAAGAGAGGATAGGAAGGGCAGCCAGATGGCGCAATGGATAGAGGGCGGCCCTGAAGTCAGAAGGACCTGAGTTCAAATCTGGCCTCAGACCAAACACTTGACACTTAACTAGCTGTGTGACCCTAGGCAAGTCACTTAACCCCAAATGCCTAAAAAGCAAAAGAGAGAGAGAGAGAGAGAGAGAGAGAGAGAGAGAGAGAGAGAGAGAGAGAGAGAGAGAGAGAGAGAGAGAGAGAGAGAGAAAGAGAGGATGGGGGCTGAAAAAAAAAACGGAACTAAAGGTTTCGGGTGCTGGGGGTGAAGGGGATGAAATGCCTCTCCAAGATCATCCTTGTGGTGAAGGATCTTTTGAGGGAGAAGCTGTGTGGGGTACTGGAGCAACCACTGGAGCTAAAGTCAGAAAAGCCTGCGTTCTGCCTCCTACTAGCTGTGTGACCCTGGGCAAGTCACTGAACTTTTCTGAGCTCCAGTTTCCACATCTATAAGGTGGAGCTAATACTATCCAGACTCCTCCCTGCCTCCCAAGGCTGATCTGAACCTGAGTAAGATAAAACATGTGATGACTAATGCCAAACTTAAATTGCTATGTAAAAGACCCTAGTTGGTGAAGCAGCCTAGCGCTCCCAGACATGTTATCACTTCCTGCTCCCCCTCCTCATGGTCAAGTTGGAATAACCGCTCTGAGGCTCCGTTTTTTCATCTGTAAAGTGGGCATAGTCATTAATACCTGTGGTCCATGTCTCTCACAGTGGCTATGAATAGCTAGTGGGATCATATCAGTGCCACGTTGAAAGCAGTGTGTAAACATCTGCTGCTGTATCTCTTCTTATTATTAACATCATTATTTGTCTAACTCAGGAAGAGAACAGCGCTACCTAGGAGACAGAGAGCTGGCCTCAGACTCAGGAAGGTATGGGTTCCAATCCTGACTTTGAAACGTCCTGACCAGGGGATGCTGAACAAGTCTCAGGTCACTTGACCTCTAGTGCCCCAAGAAGCATTCTAAAACCATGAGTTTCAAAGCAGATGCCAATGTGGATTGGCGAAGAATGTTTCCACATTGGGAATTACCTAGACAGATGAAATGACGTGTCCAGACCAGGTTGGGGCAGGGGTAGGGGGAGAGGGGAGTGAGACTCAGAGAATGCAAATACCAGGAGATGAATATACAGGGGTTGGGGAGGAGATCTGTCACAAGAGGGAACACAACCTAACAGAGCATTAGACTGGAGTCAGGAAGACCTGGGTTCAAATTCTACCTCAGACATTTACTAGCTGTATGACTCTGGGCGAGTCACTTAAGACCTCTGTGACTCTGTTTCCTCATCCATAAAATCAAGAGATTGGATCTGATGGCCTTCCAGCTCTAAATCTATGATACATGGTCATAGACTCTTCAGATGACACACACAGCCATGTGCTTCAGCCCCTTGGCACAAACACCAGACTGGCAAAATGTCTCCCCAAAGGGCAGGGCTGTGCACCAGGAGCCCCCCAGGACCCAGAGTGCTCAAGGTAGAGGAAGGTTTTCTCAGTGACAACAGAATTAGAGGGAGGGAGAGAAATAAAACCAACTTACCAGCTTCCTTCTCAATGAGCTGTGTCCTATTTTAAGCCAAGACCCAGCCCTGGCACAGGAACCCACAGATCCATCCTTTTTCTGATTGGGGAACCCTTGGAAGCCCACTGGCTCCCATTCAGTTCCTAATTTAGTCACTGAAGTCTACTCAGGTACTGACTGAATGAAGGTATTCTTGCCCAGACGCCTCTTCTTAGTAGATCCTGACCATCATTTCGGTTTTCCTCTAGCTTAGGTCGGTCTCTCTCTCTCTCTCTCTCTCTTCCTCTCTCTGTCTTTCTCTATCTATCTCTCTGTCTCTCTCTGTCTCTGTCTCTCTCTGCTCTGGTCTCTTCTTTCCTGCCTGCTCTCCCTATCCTTCTCTAATAGAGGGGCCAGTCAATGGCCAGGAGAGTCATGAGTCAGCAACAGGGGCTCGGATAGTGGCATCCAGACAAGTGGTCCATTGTGGGGAGGCCAAGGGCATGCGCGTGATTGGCAGTTTCCCAGGCGATGAGACCCATCCAGGGATTCACAGCAGCTGACAGCAGGATTGGAGCCCACATTCATAGATGTGCACAGTCAGCACCTCAGCACTACAGAACGTGCAGGGGGGACACTCCCACACCAAGTGAGCACAGCAGCTGAGCTGGGACAGAGCAGCCCAGAGAATGAATTAATGGAGCTTTGGATCCTCAGAGAGGGTTTCCCTCAGCAAGGATAAAGGGGAGGCCCTAACAGAGGAAAGAGAAATAAACTTCATTTTTTCCATCACCTAGAGTCAAAAGGTAATGTGGTCCCCTGGAAAGTACTCTGGACTTTGCCTTTGAAAAGACCTAGGTTCAAATGCTCCCTCTGATAATTTATAAGACCATAGACTGTGCAAAGCCAAGAAGCAGGAGATGAAATGCCATGTACACGAGCACATCAATTTGACTATGGAGTAAAATACGTGAAGGGGAGTAACAAGATCAGTATGAAAGAGTGGTTGAGGCCAAACTGGAAGGGGCTTTAAAAGCCAGACGGAAGGATGTGCATTTTATCCTCAGGGCAATAGGGATCTACTGATGGTTCTTGAAAAGGGGAGCAACCACATGCAATCATTGAACCTCTCTCGGAATCAGCTTTCCTATCCATAAAATGGGTAGAAAAATACTAATTCTATCTACCCCACAGTTTTGTTGTTGGGATGAAACAAACTCACATGGCCTCTTTTTCAGACTTCCAAGTGATCAACTCCAGTTGTGATTGTGACAGTCCCATGGACTCCCCCTAGACATTGGGCCCACTCTGGCCCTGGCAGAGCACTTTGTCTACACTGACTTGATGGAATAGACCACACCATTCTAGGCCAGGCCTGTTCCCCATTGCTGTCAGGAGCACTCTCTTCTTTGCATTTACTCAGGTTCATAATCAGGCCAAGTCAACAAGAATGCATTAAGTGCCTATCATTGGCCAGGCACTGCTGAGCCCTGTCGAGTACGCATGGCATTTCCATTTTGTTCCACTCTACTGGAGTGGGGTGAGGGGGGTGATGCCACAGGCAAAGAAAAGAGCCACACCCACTCATTAACTGTGGCTTTCAGAAAATGGAGATGATGCCAGTACTCACAACCAGTCTATCTCTCAGCTCAGAAAGAAGTGGCCAATGAGCCATGCCTGTTGTTCTATGGTGCCCTGGTTCATTGTCTAGCCCTCCAACAAGGAGACAAAGATTTGGTGGGGAATCTGGGTGTTTGTGGGACACACAATCTAACGTACTAGTAGAAAGCTACTTTGTGCTAAGTTATCGTGGGACTCAGCACCTTGCCTGTTTACAAAACTGTCCCAGAGAATGAGGGGGATGATTCACATAGCTACCTGCTGCTTCCAGGAGAGTTAGAGTCTGAGGAGTTGGACACTAACCTTGAGCACATTCTGACCAAAAGGGCCTGCCAACCAGCTGCAGACAGGGGGTCCGCACCACCTGCACCGTTGTGCACAGTCATGCCTGGAACCTCAGCACAGATGGGCACCACCTTTCCTGCCTGGAGCTTCAGCTGCAGAGATCCCTGGAGCACAGAGCCAAGCCCCAGAACATGGACATGCCGAAAGCCAGCTTGGCCCTTCCTTCCACAACTTCAGGTGTAAAGAGGCAAGCCTAGAGCTGGGAGGAGAAGAGGAAGGGAAAAAAGAAGAGGGGGAGGAGGAAGAAGAGGAAGAAGAGGAGGAGGAAGAGGGAAAGGGGGAAGAGGAAGAAGAGGGAAAGGGGGAAGAGGAAGAAGAGGGGGAGGAGAAGAGGAGGAAGAGAAGGAAAAGAAGGAAGAGGAGGAGGAAGAAGAGGAAGAAGAAAAGGAAGAAAAGGAGGAAGAGAAAGAGGAAGAGAAGAGGAAAGGGAGGAAAACAAGGAAGAAAAGGAGGGGGAGGCAGAAGAGGAGAAAGAAAAGGAAGAAGGAGGAAGACGAGGAGGAAGAGGAGGAAGGGGAGGAGGAGGAAGAGGATCAGCCTACGCCGTCACCCAGCCCAGGTGTTGGGGCAGGCCAGGAGGTGAGCAGGTCACAAAAACATTAGACCCATCCCTTCTGTGGACCAGACTCCCTTCTGATGTCAAAGGGGAGCCAGAAAGCCAGACAGCCACACCAAAGACCACCTTGCAGCAAGCCCACGTGGATGGCTCTCTATGTTAGATGGAGCACGTTTGGGGCAAGAGCTCTTCTGTCTCATAATCTGCTTGGCATGTGTCGATGTCTCCTTGGTTGTGTCATTCTCACTCCTAGTGAGATCTGTGTGCCCCAGGCACTGTTTGCTCATTTACGGGTGTTTTCATCCTTCTGATTCTAAACAATCAAATGAGATCATATTTGCAAAGTGCTTGGCAGAGGGCCCAGAACACAGTAAATGCTTAATAAATGCATGTTCTCTCTCCCTTCTCTTCTAAGCCCCTGAAGCAGCCCACTCAGAGATGTTCTACAATGTGCCCGGTCAGTTGCACAGCTTAGGAATGTCCCTTTGCTCTGGATGGTACTCTAGGATGATTGGGCCAATGAGACAGTACTCTGGCAAGGAGAGGCATGGCCCAGAATTCAGCCCCCTGGGAAACTTTTGAGGTTTAGAGGTCAAAAGAGCTGGGTTCAAATGCAGACATAGTGACTGTCCTTCTATGACCTTGGACAAGCACCTCAGCCTCTGTTTCCTCCTCTATAAAATGAGGGGTCAGCCTCTGAGGTCTCACTGGGCTCTAGCTCTTGGTCTGTGTTCCAGTTCTGCCATTTTCTGCTTTGGCCATGGCCTGTTCATGGTCTTCCAGTTTAATGAGCATTGAATAAAGAACCTGCTATGTTCACGGTACTATCCCTGTCTACCAGGAAACTTGGGGCTTGGGGGAAGGGGAATGCAGCATTTATCCAGATGATGAAGTATCAGATGAGTTGAGAAGGAGAGAGCAGCCACAGTCAGTGCGCCTGCACTTCCACCAGTTTAGGATTTTCACTACCCAGATGAGCCGTATTTACTGCTCTTCCAAATCTGGGGCATTATGTTCAGTCCTGGCTGCTTCATATTAAAGAGCAAATCTAGCCTCAGACACTGACTAGTTGTGTGGACTGAGGAGGTGCACTTTTTAACCTCACTCTGCCTCAGTTTCCTCATCTGTAAAATGAGGATAAAAATAGTAACTACCTGTCAAAGGCATTAGGAGTATCAGATGAACTAACACATTAGAGTGTTTTGCAAACCTTAAAGCATTACATGAAAGCTGGCTGTTATTATTATTAAGAATGAACCAATCCCTACTCACACAACTGGCCCTCTAGTTCTGCCTCACCTCTCACTGAGATTATACTAGCCTCCTCACTGGTGTCCCTTCTTTCATTATCACCCATTTCCATACAGCTGCCAAGACAATCTTCACAGGTGTAACCTCATTACTCCCCTGCTCAATAGCCTTTCATGGCTCCCCATTGGCTTTATGATAAAATACAGCCTCTTCTGCCTGGCATTAAAAACCTTCCACAATCTGGCTCCAGTCAGCTTCTCCAGCCTTCTTCCACATTCATCTATTCCTTTCACACACTCAGACTTCCAGCCAAACTGGACCACTAGCTATTCACCAATTTAGCATTCCATCACCCACCCTGTGCATTCTTGCAAGCTTACCCGAATGTACCTTTCCCTCATCTCCACCTTTTGGAATCTTCATCTTTCTTCAGAAAGCTCAGGAACTTCTCTCCTTGCCCATTCTCCACAACTGGGAATGTGCACCCTTCAAGTCACCTTATATTTACTTATAAGGTGTGCAATGGTTGGGTTGTTGGGGGCTAGGAGAGGAGAGTAGGGTCATTCCTCCTATCCCTTTTCACATTTGTTGCAAGGTGTTTTACTTGGACCCAAAGTCAGAGACAAAATACGGGTTGAAAAGAATCTGCTCATGAAAGTTCTACCTAGCTCCTTTGCAATTATGCTAAGGCTAACACTCAAGGTGATTGGTATGGACCCAGTCTGGCAACCAGGTATGTGATAGGAGTTAGAAAGAATTTTCTAACCATAATTCAATTAATAATTACATTGAAACAGCCAAAGCAGCAACACAGAAAATTTATTCAAAACAGACCAAAATACCTAAAGTTTTCTCTAATTAGCTGGCTGGGTGCAGCTGCATAGGTTTGAGGTCATAAAGAGCTGAAATACCCCTGGCACCAAGTGGCATAGTAGATAGAGTGTCAGGCTTGGAGTTGGGAAGATCTGAGTTCAAATTCTGTCTGGGACACTTACTAACTGTGTAACCTTGGGCAACGCATGAGCTCTGTCAACTTTGATTTCCTTAACTCTAAAATGGAGACCTACTTCATAGGGCTGTTGCAACGATCAAACAAGATAACACGTGTAAAGAATTTTGCAAGCTTTAAAGTGCTATATAAACTCAGCTATCATCAGTGTTGTTAGTATTATTAGCTCAAAAAGCTACGTCAACAAGCACAGCTGCAATTCCGCAGAGATGCCAGAAGATGGCAGCAGAGGGAAACCCAGCGCTAGAGACCAGAGCAGCCCAGAGCTGGACGCCATCGATGTTGGGTGGCAATGAACAAGCACCTCATTGTAGACAGGAGAGTTGACGCAGCCTGTTCCTCAGCCAGGCATATTCCCTGGCCACATGTCCTTTCCTATACAGCTCAGTCACAATTGATGCAAGTTCAAATAATGCGAAATACGATTTAATGATACCAGATCATGGGTAAGGTTAGCTAAAACTCAATGCAACTCAAGTGAGCCAGTTTTAACATGCCCCTACATCACGTGGGGATGGGATGTGCCACTGTGTAC